ATGTCCCAGAGCACCATGGAGCCATTTGCGAAGCACCGCGCGTGGCCGTCCGCTACAGAAGGCTTGAGGGAAGCTTGAGCCAAAGCGAGTCCGTGCGAGCTATTGTTGATGGAGCAAATCGAACACCAGTTTGAGTAGACCAACGATGCGAGTACATCGCACCCTTAAAGAATAATGTCCAGTCCTGGGAGAACGGCCCTGGGTTGCACGGATAAAAATCTTGCACCAACCAAATGGCAGACCATCATCCGAATTAAGCAGAGTGTCCGGGGTTTCGGTGATCCGATATCATGAGCCAACCTGTGGGCGGCGCACTATTTCTCCAACCACTGTACGTTCATATTGCCGTGCCAGCACGCCGCGCCGGCGAGGGGCGACTTTCAAGCGGCGGGTAGGCTTTCATGAGTCAGACAACCAGTCTTGTGCCGCAGTGGGAGTGCGTCAGATCGATCAAGTGGCCCGGCGCAAGCGCAACAACATGTATCCGGAGCTCGGCCATGCCCGGAGATGCCGCCTCGTCGGGTACCGAAGTTGGCGGCAGGTTTAGCACCGAAGTTGTGCAATTGCTGCAACTCCTGGCGCCGCACCGAGCCGCTGCCGTCCTCATCGCGGTCGCCGCGCAACGCGCTTTCGCTGCCTCCTGCTTCAGTTGCCTCCCGCTGCTGACCTTGGCGACGGGCCGGGGCCAGAGCTGCACGAGCTTCTTGCGGAGGCGCGCTAGCGCTCACCCACACACCGACCACGCGTGGATCCGCCGTATGGTGGGGCCGCACGGTACTGCGCAAGTGGGACAGGGACCTGTGGTACTTCGTGCTAACACGTGTTCCAACGGTTTGCACCATTGGTTGTCGGTGTTTGTTCGCGACACCAACATCAAGTCTGGCACATGTTGTTGACAAATGTACATGCACGGAAGTCCAAGATTGCCGTGATGCACAGCAGACTGTGATGACAATGCACTGCAACACGTGTAGTCCACACATGGCACAAACCCGAACATGCCCATGCAGCCTCTACAGATCGGCGCTGTGGCAAGCAGGTGTGTTCGTTGGTGTGCGTGTTTTGGATCACGTATTAAGACATTGATATGTAATTTGCGGTTGCCCTGCTGGTCCAGGCCACCGTTGTTTCCCAGACGAGTTCTGGTATTTGCCGAGCGGCCGCATGTTTGGCCAAGGCTTGTGCTGCATTCATGCACGTGTGCTGTCAACAATTTCGCTGACAGTTTCCTTATCCATCACGGCAACATGGCATACCAACAATTCGTGGAGGGTGGTTCGCTTCGCCGGTTTCAGCCGCCAGCTGCGCCGCGATGCGCCGTGCGGATCCCGAGGATGTGCATGCTCATGTCCGTTTTGCATAAGCTATAAATCTTATGATGCTGCCCCACCGTTTGTAGCGTCGCAGCGTGCACTGGTGCACTGGGACCGAACGTGGACAAGGTTGGCGCTGGTGATGGTCGTGACCGCATTTGCGATGGCCGTGGCGGCACACATGTTTGGAGGCACTTTGCAAGGGAGGGTTTCACTTGCATTGCGTTGTGTGTTGGGACAGGCCCAAGTTGTTTTGAAGCGGGAACAATGTCATGTGGTGCCCAACACAAATGGAATAGTATTGATTTTTTTCATGCAAGGGCATCCAGTAAACCTCCACTAACTTACGATGGCTTTACGAGGTGTTTCCAGTTCGGGAATTCCGGGTTTGCGTCTGGTGTTTCTGCCGATTGACTGTTTATTCGGTTTGCATCTACAATGGTAAAGACAGGTCACAACTTTCATCACACGTGGCGTGCAGCTCACCGCTTCTGGTTTCGACGACGGAGGACCTCGGCTGATAGCAGATCATTACGCCATGCCTGGAGCACGACCGTCCATTCCAGTGTAGCTTTGTTCCCAGTTCGAGGACATCATGTGGAATCCGCTGAATAGAGTTCATTTCAAAGCGCCTTTGAGGACGTGGCTCCCACATGGACCCGAGGGCACAGCTTTGCTGGCGGGGCTGATTGTGGTCACTCGGCGATTCATCTTCGAGTTGGCCAGGTGCACTTGCAATTAGCACGACAGGGAAAATCTGAAGATGGCAGTTCCAAGTACATCAGCACTGTTTTTTGTGTTTTGTTTTGTGCCGGATGGAAGTGAAAGCGTGGAAATCCGTTCCAAGGCCGCATTAGCTGCCCCACAACGCCGATGGCGGCACCAACCAACTCCACGTATCAGGCGAAGGCCAGATCCAAGTTGCAAGGCTCAGATTCGTTTGCGCCAGTCTTGGGGATGATTGACTATTGCCATGTCTTCTCGTCGTCGCATCGTGAAGCTTGGAATAACGAAAGGAATACGAATTTCCCGTCGTGCAGGCCAGCTGCGGCGCCACTGCAGTACTTGGCTCCACCACAGACACCCGCAGAGCGGCGGGAGGCGGAGGCACATCTTGCCACGAAACATGTCCACCTCGAAGAACTGACGGTCAGCATCCGGAACATATGGATTGCAAGAACGCCCCACGGGTAGATAATCGCAATGCATGAGGTGCAGGAAGCCTTTTCCAGTCTCCGGCAGCTGATCCAGGAGGCCTCGAGCAAAGACGTGGGTAGGCAGCAAGCATGACAGCAAGCATGTTGACACACGTCATGTCCTCTTATTGGTTTTGTTGTTCCTTGGTTGGCGGCTTGTAAATGATGTTGCCCAACCCAGGTGCGACCCAAAGAACGGCCGAAGAAGTTGCATCAGTCCAATTGCACCGTTCTGTTGGGTGCCTTTGCCAGGGCGATGCCACGCTAGCTGCCATTAAGCTGGAGACCTGGGGCCAAGGTCGCCGAACAATCGCTGATTTAGGCCTTGGCACTTTGAGGATGAAGCTCGCGATTTTGAGTTCTTTCGCTCATTATACTGACCATGGTTTGAAGACGATGCTACACCTCCCTCGTGAACCCAGCATCAAGATTCGGTTGCGACATGACTCGGGTGTTGTTTGCCGAACATGCCGTGGCACAGGACCCAAGAACAAAGCTTGTCCTAATGCATCAAGGACTTGTTAAACTTGCTGGACACGGCACATGATGTCCGTTACAAGCAGTTTTCGCTTCACTTGTGAATGTCGTTGACCCCCTTCAAAATGTAATCAAGAGGTCGCTCCGTGATTACCGTGGCAGAAAACTATCGTGATGTTATTTCGCTGTGCGTTGCTTGGGTGACGAAAAGGTAGACCCTGCTTTGGGCACCGTCAAGACACGGACAGGTGGCCGTCCCAGTCGCGCCCTTCGGCGGTCGGAGCTACAAATCCTCCTTGTGGAGGCAGTCAGCACTTGCGGCGTTAATGTGTGACGTTGGGCTTAGAAACGCTACTGAAACTCCAGGCATGCGAAGATTGCAGGTGATTTTCCGCAGTAGTGCGTCATTGACGTTTCAGCTGCTTTGAGGCTGCCCGAACGCGCAAACCTGAACCGGCCCTTCTGCGCGAGATGGGCAAGGCGTGTTCCTGGCATCGGACGGTTCTAATACAGTATGTTTCGTTTCCACTCCTGCAAATCTAGTGTGGAGCATTTCCCAGATTCGGTTGTGGGTTTTTGACGTCCTGATGTTTTCTGGTTGATGTTGTGGCGGTGCTTTCGGAGGTTGCGATGCCGTTCACTGGTCTTTTGTTTTGTTGTTGGCCCGGTTTGGGTTCATGCGATCGTAGAAGACGCAAGTTTGTGTGCGCTACAACGCGTGCGCACATGACGAAGCTGACCTGACAGACCCCAGTGCACTCACTTTCGTTTCATGTCGGTTTGGGGGATGTACCAAGGACATGCCATCATGTTTCGAACAGACACTGTAGAAAATTGGCATCGTTGCTGCTGTCAAGATTTTGCTGCAAGGATTCTGTAAAAACACTTGCAATCTTGCAACTCGTTTCGTAGGCAAAAAGAAGCCTTATTCCATTTGCTGCTGACTGCCCGAACCTGTACACAAAGCTGCTGTGCCTGAGACTTGTCCTTCAACGAATTTTGTAACGATACTCCTGATGAGATCGACCAGCTACGCCCCCCTTTGGTGTACCGATCATTCGCTGCAGCCAAAGGAGCTTTCAAAGCTGGGCTGCTTGGCTTGTTTCGGTGGTGAAGAATGTGTTGTGTGGCCGTGGCACTCGAGCTGCTGATGTCTTGGCGTCGGCGCGGCATTCGCAAGCTCAATTATATCAGACGGCCTGGGTGAACTGGCAAGTGCAGCCTTCAAAAGTTCGGTGCTTTTCAATTCAGGGGCACGGGTGAGTCGATGTGTTGGGTTCAATTCATTTGAAGTGAAGTTTGCAGCACTGGGATTGTCATTTTACCGTTTGCGCCTCAATCTGGGTTTGTCATACCTCGGCTGAGGGCATACTATTCTACTGGCTTGTTTTCATGTTAGTCCGGTAGGGTGTGGCCGAATCAGGAGTGAGCCCAATGCGAAATCATCGCCAGCACTGGGAGACTTCACGAGACGAGCCCAGGTGTCCCGTTAGATTGGTCGTTGGAGCACGACTGCAGCGAGAGCTTTGCCAGCAAGGGCGGGTGATCAGTGTCAATCTCAAATTATTGAATAGCTCGACCTCATTAACAGGCAATTGTGAGCTGGTCCAAGCCGGTGCAAGCGATGGCGGTCCTTTTGGAAACGCAAAGGGTGAGATGCATAGATGTTAAGGAATCTCTGCAGCAAAGCATAAAAGTCTTGGGTTCCAACGGGTCGAGCCCGCATTTCTGCATCCAAATGAAGGCAGCTATCTCGGAATCCAGAAGCTTGTAGCAGACAGCTCGCACTGATCGAGGGATGCTTTTGGTATGCACTTGGTTGAACATTACAGAAGAAGCTTCAGGCAAGAAGGCAGCAATCGGGAAGTGATTCCTCCGTGCTGTTGCGTGCCGTACGGGCATACGGACATCGACCAAGCTTTAGTTCGCGTGTACGTGAAACTCATTTGTGCATGCGGCGCCTTCCCATAGCATGTAGAGCCGGACCACAGGGTTGCGGTGCCTTCGCAGAAATATCGACACCTCCACCTTGCCAAAAGCAGCCCAGAGGTTCGCTTTGTCGCTTTGCTTTGCTTCTTGAGGAACTTTGGGCGCTATGCCCTGGATGCAGCACTCGAGGCTGCAGTGAAGGCTCAACCGAGTTTGGGCACTTGTTGGAGTTTGAGACGGCGTGTACGGCTTTAGGCTGAAGGTTTCGGGATAAGCAGGGCCATCAAGAGGATTGCTTCGATGAAGGTGGGTATGACACTAGCCTACCTCTTTCCTTCGAGCCTGCAGAGCAGGGTAGCATCCTGCACTAACTGTCGAGATTGCCTCAGACCCTTATAAATGTCGAGGCATGCAAAAAAGTGGCTCTCGATTCGCTGGAAAGAAGAACCGGTTTTAGAGACCATCAACACCCGCAAAACTTGCGAAACCCAACCCGGAAAGCGCCCCGAAGCCTCAAATACGTCGAGGCCTCCACTGCGAATTTTGGAAGTGCCGAATGCAGAACACACAACCGATTCTGCACATCTGACGAATTCCATACCACAGGTCAGTGCTGCAGATGCTTGAATCGGCTGAAGCCCAGAGACACATGAAGCTTTCTAGCAGCTCCACCAAGCCAGCAGGAGGCGCGCAGTGAGCGCGCAGCTCTCACACTGCTGTCTATGGGTCAAGGTAGGCCGCCCTTTCAAGTTCCAGAGCTTTTGTTTGGCCAGGCATGTGTTACAGAGTTTCTTGCAGACGCGCAGAGTACAAGATGCGATGTGTATAGCATAGGCCTACAGTTCAATTTTGGGTGGAGGTTTTGGTACTGAATATCATCAGTCGGAGTTAGATTGCAGGCAGTGGCTCCGGGGACACGTCGCAGCTGAGCCCCGGCAGATAAATCGAGGCTACAGCATTGCGGCTGGTAGATAGGTTGTGCACAGTGAGATCTTCCAACAGTTCTGGCTTCTAGCTTAAACCAAGTCGTGCTCGAGGCTGCGTCCTAAATTGGAGGATTTGCGCACTCGAATTCGTAGTCTCGGAGACTCCCAATGACCCTGCTGCACAGTCTGCAACCGTGATGAACTTAGGGACGTCAACCCACTCTTCAGAGCGGCTGCAGGGCAAGGAATGACAGAGCCGCACGGCCGCCACCCATTTCACAGGGTCGGGGATGAGCGCGGCCAATTGCAGGTTCTTTATGCGCAAGGCTTTAAAGTTCAAAGAAGGGCTACCCTCTGCAGATGCACATGCTGTTTTGTTTGGCGCTCTTAATGTATCAGGTTTGTGCAGGTGTCTCCGCACCAAACGCAAGCCCTGCGAGGCTCCTTATTCGCTTGGTCAAGGAGTGTGGCGCGGACGTAAATTCCAAGGACACATGTTCAGAGATATCCAGCTCATTGTCAACCGTTGTAGACGAGTGGTCTTCACGAGAGACGCCGTAGCAGAAGCCTTGTCCGGCATCTGGCACTTCAGGTTCCAAGCATCGAGAGAGTATCGTTTCTCGCACAAGCCCAGAAGCATGAAGCAGCAGATACTGTAGCCCACGGGCTTTGTGCGGGGTTGACATAAGCCCGACCCGCAGCCTACCCTAAACCCAAACTTAGAGATTGCAAGAAATGGCCCATGCTGCGACTCGCCTTGTGTTTCCAAAGGCTCTGACGACAAGAGCCAAGCCGAAACCTAAACACCAAAGGCGAGATCATTTCCGTGTCATGTCCCAAACGCAAAAGAGCGCAGGACCCTCTCTTTGGTGCCACGGCGCTCGACAGGGCAGCAGATGCTGGGAAGGACCACAGATTCCGGCTTCAAGGGTTCTGTGTTGCTGGGGAGCCTGGAGTCGATGCGGGAATTGCCATTTCGGTTTCAGGAGCGTGCCGCCCTTCGGCTCCTGGAGTTGGGCGCAGACCCTGGCGCTGGCCGAGGGGCACCGCGGTCACATCTCCATTCGCAGTGTAAAGCAGGGGCTCAGAAGGATGTTTGAGACAATGCCTATGGCCGAGTACTGAAGAAGGTGCTCCTCCACTGCTTGAGACCAAGGTAGACTATCTACTCGCTCGCTTGAGCCCGAAGGCCGGGATTTGGACTTTGCTCATGTTCATTGGCTGTTGACCGGTATAAACTGTAGCCGCAGCCGTCATGCTGCCTGACCAGGTCGGAGGCTTTATGGCGAGGGCTTATTAGTGGCACCTTTCATCTCCACAGCTGCCATGAAAATCAACGCCATAACTGTAAGTCAAATCAAGATTGAATGACCCCCTCTCGGAAGCATGTTGTAAAACGCATCGGTGCATCATCAAAATGCTGACAAGAGCAATCCTGGCTGCAGGTCCCTGCTGTACTGTTACAGCCCATGAACTTTCCTGGCACACTTGCAGGACAACAACACAACCACACAGCTAAGCATAATACCAAACGGCAGCATCTTTGTAGCCGCGGCCGGGTCAGACGAGGTTCGCGCGCAGCTGCCCAGGGCCAGCGCCACTCCACGGGTCGCACCCAAGGGTGAGCTGGACGAGGCAAGCAGAGCGTTGAAGCACAGGCTAATGGTTTTATGGCGAATCGGAGGTAGTGTCGGGAATCAGTGTTGGCATCTCTAGCCGATCTCGCGTCACCAGATGTTGGCAAATCTGGGCAGAGACCCCGATGATGCAGGGTTTTTGGCATCGTAGCGGTTCCCGATGCGGTCTGCGAGCCCAAATAATCAGCACTTGCACCCGACATCTTTGAACCAAGCCTTCGCCCTCCATCCCTCAGCACCAAAGCCCTCCTGCAGCCAAGCAAGTTCCCAGAGGACGAGTTCGGGGCCGTTCGCGACGCACTCCGCGTGTCAGAAGCCTTTGCTTTGGCAAAGCTCCGTGGCCGGAGGTCCGTCTGCAAGCCTTCTTTCCAAAATCTTCTCTTGAAAAGGTGCATTTACGCACGAACCAGCAGATGTTTTCTTGAAGGGAGGGTGATCAGTGTTGCGCTTGCGTCCGCATCTAAACTCGTTGTGTGGTTGCCGGAAGGCTCTCTGCTGTCCAGCTCTCCCAGTTAATGGACGATTCTGCAAGGAGAGATTCGGTGCACATTTGTTGAAAGCCACGCTACCGCTTGAGCTGGAACAGGTTCAGGTCCTTGGCATGATGCAATCACTGGAAGCTGTCCCCGACATCGATTCCATTTTGATTTGTCCAAGTCCGATTACTTGTGAAGTTTGCGGGCAACTGACTCCATGTAGTTGCTCTCGACTTTCATTCCTGGAGCGTAGGAGCGGCTTTCGCCGAAAACTTCTCCGGCTTTGCATTGACGGCTTGACGGAAGCGGGTGTCGCAGTCGGCTGGGACGAGGATGTGTCATGAGCGTGTTTGGCATGCTTCCGCAGTCAAGACCCTGCCGGCATGTCGGGTGACACATGCTTTTTTTCAATCGATTGCCTCTCAGAATATACTCGCAGCTGCTGTGGCCCAACTGTAACTGCTTCAGCGTAGTGGCGTTCATTGTTGTGTCTCGCCATCTGCTTTGTCATACAGGATCCACTTCCCTGCTTCTGAAACTGCTGCAGCGAGAGGACGCACCGCGCAGCGATGCCAGCTTCGCTGGGGCTCCATTGGATGTTGCTTTGCGGACTGCAGTCGAGGCACCGTGGGGTCTTGTTCTCGATGAGGGGCAGGGAGCACTCTGAAGGAGTCTGGCTTTCGGTTTTCTCCGCACGTTTGCATCTTGGCCCCAGGCTTGCGGGCACCCAAGACAGAGTAAAGCCATGATGGACTGTTCGTAGAAGTTCTGCGCTGCTAAATGAGCCCACCCCGCTCGTTCGAAAGCGCAGACACAGCCTTTGTTGTTGTCACCAAAACATCAACCCTAAACCTGTAAGCAAAATGGGGCACGTGCTCCCTTAGTTCGGCACCTCTGTGCGAGTCCAACTCGGGCTGCTGTCATGCCATCTCGGGGGGCAGAGCAGCACTGCACGCTCCGTTCTGTTGCAGCTGTTTTGGCCAAAGAGCTGAGAGCACCTGTTTGGGAACTGTGTAGGATGTAAAATTCACGGATACCAGCTTGTGGAGTCTCGGGTTCATAGCTTCGGCCATCCCGTCCTACGCAGCATGGGTGTGACGCGGACGTGGCAAGAGGCCACCGCAGGGACCCAATCCCATCCTGTGCCATCCGCACAACTGAATGGAGAGGGAGAGCGAGAGCGAGAGAAGAGAGAGAGAGAGAGAGTGAGTGCCCGAACGGGGCTGAGAAAGAGGGAGGGAGTGAGCGCGAACGAGTGCGAGTGCGAGTGCACAGCAAGAGCGAGAGAGGGAGCAGGAGAGAGGAAGTGTGTGGCATATTCATGTTGAGATGCACATTGGCGAAGCATATGCCGAGGAGTTGGAATCCTTGGGGACACAGGTCACACATTGCCTTAGCTAGGCCGGCTCATGCTACAGCAGTTCGGATCTCGTTTGCGCCGCAGGTGCGCGAATGTTTAGACTTTGATCCAGTGGCAGCATCCGCACAGCCGCTGGGCTAGACACAGACATCGCATGTCCATACATGAAGGAGAGAAGCACTCGTACACCCAAAGGACAACGAGGTTCACATACACACACACACACACACATCCATGGTTTTTCCAATTGCTCAATTGTTGGTTTGAAAGAATTGATTTATGCTTCGTCGATCTGTGTGCGCATACTGTGTGTTACGTTTCCGGTGTAGGACTGATGTCCTCCGGCGTCTCCTAGACGAACTTGGAAAGAAGTCATCTAAATTGCTCCTGTTTGCATTTAAACGAAACCAATCCTTCCATCATTTCGCCGGGTGTTTTGGTGTTGGTTGCTTTCGAAGCTGGTTCCGCTTCTTCCTGAGCTTCTTCGTTCTTGCAAGTGCCGCTCTTTTCTGTTCTTTTTCTGTCCGCTTCACTTCACCACAGTGCAGCACTGACGCCCCAGGACGGGCAAGAAACTCTTGAGCTTCGTGGTACATTGCACGAATTATGACACATGCCGCTTCAAAAGCGATGTTCACATGTCAGGCCTGTACATGGCTGCACCACTAATTCTCACGGGACTGAGGCCTTTGAGGCGGTCCGTGCCGGAGCCGGGTGGTGCAAAGGCCCGGCAAGCATTCGTTCAAGCATGCTTAGAGCTGCAGCGAATCCTAGTAGATCCGAGTATCACCACGACACGACACAAGTTCTTCTGCCGATTTCAACAGAAACCGGAAGCCAACCTTTGCTCGAAGGACCACCGGAGCGAGAAAAAACCTTCTGAGGTCCCCGAGATGTTTGAACATCAGCAGCAGGAAACCTTGACTGGACAATGACAGCACAAGCACTGTAGCCAAAGACTAAAATCGCAAGGCTTTGGCAAAGCTCCAAAAATCCAATGATGGGCTTTGACTTAGAGATTTCAAGCCAGGGGCCAAAGACGCCGCGCTGCACCCTGCCGCCACCGGAGCCTTGGATGGGACGCCTTCTTCCCGTACCTCGGTGAGGGCTTATTGGCTTGGGCTTCCTTTATTTCATCGAATGCTGGATACTTCAAGTCTTGGAAAGCTGCACAGCATCTACACTAGCAGGGTGCACATTCGGCATGTAGCCTCTCAGGGCACAGGCGAGGGCTTTTGTGGCGCATATCCGAAACGTGAAGTTCCGAGTTCGGCGATGGGTTCTCGATATGCCGAAGCCCGTCAAGCTGGGTTCCTTGTGGGCCGACTGTGCACTGTCAATCCAAGGATGCTGCTGAGCCTGGCGCACCCGCCATCACAGGACCCCGGGCAGCTCACGATCTTGCGAGCCAAAGCAACTCGAAGCCCCTTGAAGGAGCTTTCTTTGGAGGCTTCGGAGCACTTCTTGGTGTACCTTGGACAGCCCGAAGCAGCAACAACTGCACGATCGCCGATCATTCGAGGGATTGCTGCGTTGCGAAAGCGGCAGTGTGGTGTTGGTGACTGGAAGCTTTGCTCCCGAAAGGTGCTTCGTGGTGCTGCTTGGCAGAAGTGGCAAAGTCTCGCCCAAAATCGAAAGCTCCGGAAACTTCAATGAAGACGTCTAGGTGTATCAACACTCGGTGCATCTTCTTTCACCCGCTACTCCGGTGATTCAACCCTTGGTTTGTGAGAAGTGCGCAATACCGATCTCCACAGGTATGAAATCAAACTGCAGGGGCTCGATTCCCGATGTCTTTTTTTTGATTACAGGATCCCAAACACATTGGGGCTCTGAAGTGATGCCGGAGGCTGCCGTGGCTTTGCTCACTGACAGGCCACTCTTCTGAAACTTGCGACGTCTCCGCTGCTCATGTCCCAGACTGCCTGCTTTAGATGCATAACTGTCTACGTGCACGTTCTGTTCTGTGAGCCGCTTGGAGCCCCAAAGATGCTCGCATGCTGCCAGGTTCCCGGACCTGCCGCGGAGCCGTGCCTTCGCAATTGGCTTCGCCGCTTCCGCGCCGTGGTCTCCGGGCGGATGGTTTCTTCAAGGGCTGGCCCTAGGATCAAAGTTCCACCGTTCCGAGATTGCCAAGAGTTCAATGGAGAGATATGGAGAGGTGAAGTGTGGCTCTTGCAGCTTGCAGTTAGCAATTTTCGCGTCTGCGAGGCAGAGGCAGACTCAGCCTTTGCCAACCTTTGCAGTTTGTTTGTTGACACACCTTGTCACAGGCTGGCATGACTCGAACTGGGCTTCAGAGGCATGTGTAGTCCAGACTCTGGAGGCCAGATGATATACACCCAAACCCGCAACCCGTGTAGCATCAAATCCTGACCAGTTCTGCACATCAAGGTATGTGTCTTTGCTTGGCATCTCAGGCCGTGTCGCTGCTGTCAAGGGTTCAGGATAGCAAGTGTTCTGTAGCAATCCACCTGCGCAACAGTTTGGGCTTTTTTGCCCGCAGATTGCAATCGTTGGCTCTGAGCTTTCAGTTTTCCTTCCCTCGGCCTCCATTCCTACTTCCTTCGTGCTTTTGCGAGCAAGCCCGAATCGTCCCGCGTGCCTCTGGTATTGAAACATGTTCTACTTTCTTTCGGAGGGGCACCTGGATCTGCCAGGGGTCCTGTCGGTGTACTCCGCCCGTGCCGAGCGTGCTGGACGCCCCGCGCAGCTGGACCTCTCCGAGTCACACCCAGCTTGCGCAGCCAGGCAGTTTAACTTAGTGCATTTCACTTGTCATTTGCAGCTTGTGGTTTCCTGCAGAAATCCTCACAGGCGCATGCCTTAATTTCGGTTGTGACCGTGGTCGGTATGTTCCTATCGTCGAAGTTTTAGTTTGCAGAGTCTCGACCGCAGATTCCTGGCCTCGTACTTTCTCGTGTTGGCATGCAAAGCTAAGTGAAGATTCACAGGTACATCGACGGATCTGTACATACAACGCTAGGCTTCGGTTTGCGGGTGGTTGCCCAAATTTTAACTAGAAGAGCCACATCATGGCTGAACTCGGCTCCAAGGATCTCGGATGAGCTTTGGAAAGATCCTGATGCCGGCACGCTGTCATGCCATGCAACCTGCCTTGCACGCGTCAGCTTCTCAAACGCAAATCGCAAGCAAGCTTCAGAACGACGTGCATGTATTCTGAAAGCCTGTGGACAAGGATAGCAGCCGGCTCGAAAAAGGAAAACGATTCAGCGAAATGCTTTGGGGATATTGATGGAAGTTTGCAACCTCGGCTTGCTGCTGCTGATGTTCGAGGGTCTGTTGTAGGCCTACGTATGCTGCGAGTTTTGATGAATATCTTAGAGCTTCCTGCGGTACAGAGGCTTGTTTCATTTCCAAATCTTGCTTCCCGATACATGACGAAGAACATCAACATGACGTTCCATCTTGAGAACCGATCTCTGACACAGTCCGATGCTGCGAGATGCCCAGATGCTTGACCGACTGTATTGGGTGAGTGAAACGGCACCCGGTAGCATGCGTCATCATGGAGTAACCGTTTCATTGTTGTGCTTAACCCCGAACCCGACTGGACCTTCGACGATCGGCTGATCGGAGAAGGTCATCTTCTGGCGTAGCTTGGGACGTTGCGCAGCGTGTTTGGTCATTGTTTGATGGTACAGTAGAAGCCATAAAGTTGGAATGATTAGTGCTGGCTTGCCATTTACTTGTATGTCGATAACATTGTGCCAGCTTTTTGCGGATGGCGAATGATAGCAGATATCAAGCCATTCCAAGAGTACTAGCAGTCCATGACAGCATCAACCCCCTGAACAGATTAATATTTATGAGACCCTGTGTTCATTCACAAGTTGTGCTGCAGGAGAACCCAGACGAGCGAGCAGCGCTGTTCTTGTTGGAGGACTGCTAAGCTATTTCCATGGATGGTCTAAGCACAAGCCAGCCTCGAAGGTCAAGCTAAGCAGAGCCGAAAGCAGGTCTGCGCAGCAAGGGAGATCTCGCAAGAATGGGCTTTGGAGTTGCCTGCATAGCTTGGCAACCGATGGGTTCAGACATCCGTCCAGGAGGGCTTGGCCGCGACGACAGGAAGGCTCCGAGCTTCGATCCTGCTTTGCATGATTCAATGTACCAAGCGTTTGAGATGAGAAAAAAAGACTTTCTGAGCTTGATACCCGTCTGTGCGAGGCCGACACGGTTGAATGCAAATCCGCTTCTCCGCACAGCTGCCAGCAGGCGCATACGGGCGTAGCGCAAGCAGAGATGTGAACTCAAGGTTCGAGGCATGAGCCTTGCTACAGAACCCCTTTTCATCGAAGTTCCAGCCTGAAGTTTTCAGAACATCACACGCTGGTGGCATGCGTTTGCATTGGCAAGGTTCTGGAACGTTTGCTCATATGTTCGCTTCACCTTCCTCGTTGGAGAAGTTCCGATTTCGGCGAACGTAATGGCCCAGCTGCGCGTGTCACACACACATCCTCTGCGGACACAACACGAGGCTCCCGGAACGAATGCCGATATGCAGATTCCTAGCAGCATTGGGTGCGAAAACAAGTTAAGTACCAGTCAAAAACTGAGGCATCAGTATCAGAACCATTAACCACGTAGAGTGCCCGAACATCATCAGACAACCCAACCTCAAGCTAACATCATACAACAACTTGAAGTAGTGGCGGTTTTCTGGGGAGACCCCTGCATCTATACTAATCGAACTAAGCTGGTACAAACTCTTGCGCGAACATAGTTCCTGCATGAACACCAGAACCTCGATGGAAAAGGATCAGGCAGCAGCTTATAGCATACGGCCTGTTCGCGTCATAGTCAAATTGACCAGCCTGAACTACAAGAGCCGATGGCCCAAACACAGCAGCATGGATTGCACCCTGTTGGTGACATACCGCTACCATGCCCTGAAGAGTTCTCTGCATCAATGGACCCTCGCCTGCCAACTCCACAGGCTGAATCTGGATAGGAGCCGATGTGCCACTGTCAGTGACCCTCCATCCGTCAGGATTGGATTCCCTGCCTTGCCATGAAATCGCTAGCTACAAGCTTATCCACTGTTGAGGCAACTTTGTCAAGACAAGCTGAACATCATGCTGCCTCACCGGATATCTTCAGCTCTCCTTTGTGCTTGCCAGAAAAGATTTGCCCAGATATGAAGCACAACCTTTGTTTTCAGCAACCCCTGCAGAAAACGTAGCATGCTTCCTTCAAGCAAGCAGCCCAATCCACCCAGCTCGCAACATGTAGCAGGCTTCGTAAGCACTGCCTTGCCATAGCAGTAGTAGACCTTGTTGCCGAGCTTAAGTGTTTGACCATAGCTGCAAGCTTCTGGGCAAGCGGGCTCCTTTGGATCCGCTTTTGGCGTAGATAGGTTTATGCCGATACCCGCACCGCTGACTGATCTAAATCCGTTTCCACACAGCATGGGACTGCTCAATGCGAAGTTCGATTTCCAGAAGCATCGTCAGCGTCGGCCACTGGTATTGCTCGCTCAACGACCTGGTGGCGTGATATCTCGCCACCACCGTCGGCTCTTTTGCAAGAAGGAGCTCGTCCGGGGCCTCCTGAGCCTCCTTCACTTTCAAGGTCTTGACCTGGTCGTCCTTGATGTGCTTCCTGCTTTCTGACTCCCATTTCAAGCCGATGATTTCGTCCTCACTCTCCCCAAGCCATCCCAGAGCCACCGCCGTTGAGCGTCTTCACCCTGTCCCGACCCGTGGCTGAGGAGGTGCTGGGGCTCTTGGTGTCGTGCCAGACCTTGCCGATCCAGTACGTACTGGTTGCAAGGGTCGTCGGCATGTCCGTCCCTCATGAAGTACAAAGCCTGTGTCGACGCGATTGATGCAGTGCCCTGATTCGTGACGGAGGATCAGCATCGCAAGATGTTCACAATGGTCCAAGTGTCCTAGGCCATTCTCGTTGTACTCCTGGCCGCTGGACCAGTTGTGCCATTGATTCCTTCGGCTCACGCCGCCCTGGGAAAGAAACCCGAACTTCCGTAGTCCTGGTTCTGGCCTTGGTGGTTGTTGCGGTCCCTTGCTCTCCGGCTTGCAAGCAGAATTTTGCTCTGTCGTCCAACTCTTCGCACCTGCCTGCTGCTGGTATTGCACTGATCTGTCGACACGGCCTGCCTTCCCCGGCACTTCTCCCAGTGACAGAAAGCTCACAGGCTGTTTCGGACATGTTACTAGGGATGCACCGAGATAGCTTGGTTTGGCCGAACCTGGTTTGCCTGCCCACCTCGCGGCATAGGGGCTTTACTTGCAAGCGTTTGGCACCGCATCCGAGTTATTTATGTGGTCAGGATCCCAGTTGCCAGGATTGCATTCGCGTGGATCAGGTGACCTGATTTCCGCCGAGCGATATCCGCACTCACGGGTGGGTCTTCGGCTTGGGATGGAGCGGCTTGCGACAAATTCAACCGACCGCCAGGTGCCAAGCTCGCTTGCTACAGCCGCTGGTCGAGGCGGCTCTAAGCGGGTTTGAGGATTCTGAGTTTCCCTGAGCATGCCCTTTTCGTGACCCTTGCCTTGCTGACAACTTTTGTGGCCATCAGGATCCGAATAGATGAGCGTGCAGTGCCAATGTCCTGCGGCTGAGAGCAACTGCTGTTTGGGCCTGCAGGAAGGACAACTTGAAAAAAGTGAAAAGTGCCTTATTGGAGCCTGCACTCTGCTCTGTAACTGTTCTAGAACCATTTCTTCCATTCTTCGACAGTAATAAACACAACATTAATCCGGCTATCCTATCATGTCATCTTTCGAGTGAACGACAGGCACGGGCAGAGCTGGATGCTCCCGATCCTCGCTTTGGCAGCACCGCAAGAGCCCCAGAGGCAGTGCAGTGCAGGGCGAACGAACTTGATTTGACCAGCATTTCGAGACAAGCAGCTCGAAAGCTATGCAGAATCGGCATGCGGTTTTGACGCAGAGCTAATAAAAGCCATCTCCAAGCTTAAACCTTGAAGCCTTTTCCCGTGTCTGTGACGATGTGCAAGCAGAGTTTCGTCGCTTTTTGCTTGTGTAAAATGCGCAGGGCTTTGTTTGATTTGCTTGAATGCTCGCTTCGGCACGTGCTTCTCACCGACATGTTGTGCCCTTCAAGTCAGTAGTAGCATCATGAATCAAGTAGCAACAATGATCACTGTTGAGTTGTCGCAAGAACATGCGTGTTCGAGAAAGCGTGAGTTCCTTCCAACTGTTGGCTTGAGGCCCTTGATCGCGCCGTTTCCGCAGGCCAATGTGCTCGAGTGAAGTCTTTGAAAGTTCATTCCATTGATACGTTTCGGACGGATATGCGGTCCCGCCCTTGCCACCAAGATCCAACTTCAGATCGAGCTGCCAGCGGTCCAGACAGCATTGGCGGTACCCCCTCCCAAAATTCACATCAAGATATCGACAGCTGGAGCCTTGCAGGCTGTTTTCCCGGCACTGCGAAGCTCCTGGAGATGGGGGCCGATCCCGACGCGGGCCATGGCAAATGCCTCAGCTTTACTTCTTGAACTGCACTGTTTCGATCAGCGAGAATTGACACACACACACACACACACACATTATTTTTTTTGTTCTAAAGCTGAGGCCGCAACTACTTGTTGGAGCATGCCAGCCCTGAAGTGGAGGTGTTGCTTCGTGAAAACAAAGCCGAAAGCAATTTTTAAGTAAAGCACCACTGCAAAATTGTTTCGAAGCATTTAAAATCGAAAAGCAAATAATTGTGTACAGACGGCTTCCATCCCAAAATCTGCGTGAAACTGTATCGGAAGGGCGATTACGAACATCGGAAACTTAAAAAAAACTTTGTAAAAACAGCACCACCCTAGCGAGGTCGGAGCAGCCAGCCGAATAGTAGACTTTTGTCATACAATATTATAAAACGTATTTCTTTCTTTTCATAGCTCCATGTTTTTAGTTTTTGAGTAGGGTTTTCGATACCGATTATTGGGTCGTTGATTGATTTCCTATTTCTAAAAATAAAATATATATTTTTTTTTTTT